TAGGCACATTGGCACAACACAATCAGTAATACATAACAAGTTAACAACTGCAATAAAATTTAGTATCTACAATTGTTGAACAAATGATGCATGCGTGCCAACTGCCAAGCCAACCCTGCCAAGACAACCCTGCCAAGACAATAAGAAACAGAAAATTATGTTATGAACAAAAGAAGTTACATTAGTAAATTATGAGCACCTGCATCAATTAAAAAAAGGCACCTTTGTGAGTTAATTATGTCCACAACAATAATTAAAAGTAAAGGAATAATAATTTATTAGATCAGAATTTAGAAGATAATTAAAGCAAAGGAACAAAGTATCATAGAGGTAATTATGCTGCAAGTAGAACAATAAGTAACAGAGCAAACAAAAAATGGAACTTTAGTTTTAAATCAGCAAAAACAAACCTCATATATTGAACATATTTAACTTACATAAATTGAAAGTAATATACCTCATAGATTGGGTTGTCATTCAATCATCCAGATGAGGACGAGTGCTTTCCAATCCAAAACACAAAATTTCTACAAAAAAATTGGACAAGCACATTAGATAAATTATATGTGCTAAATATATTTAACAAAGCCAACAAGTACATAACCAAAAAATTAAAAGTAAAGGAAAAATTTTACCTAACTCAATTTTTGTTAATTTTTCCAAGCTCTCCTCTATGATGAATGGTACACGCAGAGTCTGAAACTAATCTTATGTACAAATAAGAGCCTCCACCATCTTAGGAGTGAGGGAGCTATGAAATGGACTCAATACACGACCCCCCGTACTGAAAGCCGACTCAAATGCAACTGTAGAGACAAGCATCTCCAATACATCACATGTTATCATAGATAGAGCTCCATATTTTGTTGAATTTAACTTTCACTATTGCAAGATATCAAAGATCTTGTTGTTGTCATCTTCACAATCATCTGTTAAATATTTGTCCAACTCTGTTTTGTGATTCACAATTTTTTTTCCAGGCTATTGCTCTTGATACATAACCTTCATAAACTCCTCATTTTCAAGATCTACATCATGAACATCAATCTGAATTGCAACTTGAGACTGTCCACTTGGCTGCGCACTAGCGACCATCTTAAACAAACTATATTGCTCAAATAAAGACACAAAACTTCCTTCACTTTTGACCTCAACCTATCAACAAGAACAACATCAAAAGACTCATTAATTACCCAATCCACATATTCTAACTTGTGCCTCGAATCTGTACCTTTGCAATGAATAACATAAAGTTGATATTATCAATAGTTGACCAATATTTATCATATTTCACCTTCATCCTTAGAGCCATAATACGTAACTTAGGATCATGACTTACACACCATTTTGAAAACTTCAACCCAATGCCAAAAATGTCTCGCATATAAGCATTATTGGTGACATAAAGTGAGCCAGAGACACTTAGGGTAGCATTATAAAAGACTTTCGAAAAAGGTAAGAAGTATCGTGCATACTCTCAATCAATACATGTAGGCAAACCCTTAAACCTGTCCCCACTAGTAAGCTCATATGTATACTTTCTATCTTCTATTTCCAACAACTCAAAAGCTTTCTAGAATTTTAATGTCGTATCTAATATCAAGTATGTGGAATTCCACCTTGTCTCAACATCGAGAACCAATTGACTTTTAATTTCAATATTTTCTTTGCCACACACTCCTTAAATCTTTGTAACCTTGCTGGAGAAGACCTCACATACCTCATTGTTGAACGAATTCTGAATATGGAATTGTCCATGTCTTTCAACCCCTCTTTTACAACTAAACTCTATATTTGAGCACAACATCTCATATGGAGGAAGTCACCATCCAAGACACTCCCCTTCCAACTTGTCAACCGAGTCTTTACATAGTTTATTCTAACATCATTAGAGCTTGCATTATCAACAATGATTATGAAAACCTTAGAAATGCTCCACTCAAGCAAACACTTTTCCATTGCCTTGCCAACCACTAAACCTCTATGACTACTAATTGGATAGAAGTTTATAATCTTTTTCTGTAAAACCCAGTTATCATTGATGAAGTGAGCTTTTAGACATATATAATTAAGGTTCTAACAACTTGTCCATGTATCCATGGTGAGACAAACTCTTTGAGAAAACTTAGCAAATAACTTCTTCATCTTTTGGCACTCTTCATTATACATTTTAATACAATCTGAAGTAACTGTTGTTCGGCTAGGTATTTGAAACCTAGCTGTGCCACACTCATCAAGTTCTGAAACCTCTCATGCTCAACAATCCTAAAAGGTAACTCATCAATAATGATCATTTTAGCTGTAGCCTCTCTAATCACATCCTAGTCGAATTTCCATGTCAAAAGTGAAGATTGTGGAGAGCTACTTAACTAATCACGTGTCTATTGTGCTTATTAAACCATTAATATCTTATGTCTCTTATCCACCACATTCAATGGATACTTTTTACACCTATTTAAATGATTACATAGACAACTTGTACCATTCTTACTTGGACAAGTTAGAACATTCCCACAATAATTACATGATGTAGTGGCATCATCCTTATTCTCACAATCAATCTTGGTGAAGTGATCCCACATTTCTGAAGTGTTCTTCCTTTCACTAATAAAAGACCCACATTTTTTAGTTAGACAAGGCACTGGTGCCATGCAAGTATTTAGAGTTGCAGCCACATTTGTAGGTGTCAAAATCGGAGAATGAATGTCACTTGAAGTCTAACAAGCACAAGCATTGTCACCAATCGATGACATTTGCAATATCATTCAAATAAGAGATATCAGATAGGAGAGTAAGTAACAATTTTTCAATACAAAACCAAACAGAAAGTTTTAAAAAGGGGTCCCCAGATCTAAATATAAATTTAACACATTAATATTGAAAGAGAATAAGAACAACTGGGTCATTTCTCTCAACTCAAATTTGTGTGTTATAGCTTATGAATCTAGCATAAATATGTACAAATTTTAATCCTAAAATATAATGTCACAATGAAAACCATATGAAAACTGAATTGTATCAAAACAGGGTTCCCAGATTGAAATATAAACCAACACACTGATACTTACAGAGAATAAGTAAAACTGGGTAAATTTTGTAAACTCAAATCCTCTAGATGAGACTAACCTTAAACACAGGAAATGCAAAATGAACAGCAAAACAAAAGCTCAATCCAGTCGCAAGAACTTGTCAATCGTCGATGAAGACTTAAGAACTCATCAATCATCAACTCAAAGAAGCTTCTGTTTTTGTCGTTGAAGAGTGAACTCGTTAGTTGAGCTTCGGTGAAGACTATGAACAATGAAGATTGTAAAGCCTCCGTTTTTATCGTCGAAGACTGAAGACGGCGAGTCGGCGACTAGTTGGAGATTATGGAGAATGGAGGGAGGCGGCAAGTTTGAGCGTCAACTCAAAGAAGCTTCTGTTGTTGTCGTTGAAGATTGAACTCATCAATCGAGATTCGGTAAAGACTGTGAAGAATGAAGATTGTGAAGCCTCTGTTTTTGTCGTCAAAGAGTGAAGATGGCGACGACGAGTCGACGACTAGTTGGAGTCTTGGAGATTGTGGAGAATGGAGGGAAGCGACAAGTTTGAGAGCAAGGTCTATTTGTGTTTAGTGTTAGGGATTCAATTAGGATTTAGGGATTTTTACTAAATTAGGGGAAATCGGTTTCGGTTAACCGGTGATAAAATGGTTTTAACTTGAAAATCGAACTAGAAATCCGATTTGGGCACTTTTTAAAGTCGGTTTTTTGGACTGCTTTCGGTTCGGTTTCTAGACTCTATTCAATTTCCCTTTTTTTTTTTTTTTTTTTTGCAGCCCTAGTTTATGCTACAGAAGGGTGTTTTTGTGAGCAGATATTTTTTGGTTTGTTTTGATGCTGTTGTGATTTTTTTGGAAAAGCCTGTTGAAAGCTTTTGTTTCAGCTTGTATTCTGGTGTTGTTCTAAAAATGCTTCTACTTTTTCTTGATTTATATATAACACTTTTGAAATAGTCAAGACAATCCTTTATCATATAATTAAGAGTTAAAATATTTTTGAAAAAATTCCCATAGTTAGATTAGAGGGTCTATATCAACACAAATTTCTGAATCCTCGGAGTTGTTGAGAGCTACCCGTTAGCCTTAACAAATTAGATGTAATGGGTTTGCACAAGGCAAGGGCATTAAGCTCCATATACATATACTTTCATGTGTTTTATCTTGATTTTGAAAATTAATTTGATTAATAGGCAGTAAACATATATACGAAAAATCAATGTTCAATGACATATGCTTATGTGCACTTTGACAATATTAAAATGAGTTATATCATATGATTACCCAATTAAAATGATTTGTATGTAGTATTATTATTGGTGTAGAAATATAGTGAATTCTTGATTTGGTTCATATGATATGCTTACTCTCATCTCTTTTTGTTATTGCAAAATATTATTAAATATATTCAATAAATCTTTCTTCTTGATTATGAAATTAACTTTCAATTATGCTCATCATGAAATGTTACCTCATCCATGTGTAAAATGATGGCAAAAGAGTTAAAATGATGACATCATGGATGACAAATATTCATGAACTTGATGATCATAATCTTGATATATAATTAATTAATTAATTCATTTAATTTATCTTGCTCCGGTAGCTTTGCCAATAAAAAAAATCATATGAATGATATACATTGCCATATCATTTTAACATTTTCTTATTTTCACTCATCATTTACATGTTTGTGTAACATGGAACATATACCTTATCTACTTATTGGAATAATTAGCATACAAATTTTCTTATACAAACTAATATGTTTCTTTTAATCAACCTTAGTATGTTTATTCATAATTGTTTCTTACATATAATATGAAATTGTTTTTATATTAAAGTTATAGGTTATAACAAATTGCTTATTGGTTGCCACTTGCTAAGGGAGAGAATGTCATCATCTTCATCTACACAAAACTCAACGACCGCATTCATTTCCTCACAATATTTTCGAGGAATGACCGATATAGCATGGGGACATGTTACTGAGGGTATTGATAAAGATGGAAAGAAAATATTAACTTCTCGTCATTGTGGCAAGGTTCCTAGAGGTGGAGGTATTTTCCAAATGAAGCAACACCTAGCAAGAGTAAAGGGGGATATTGGAAAGTGCCCAAAGGTTCTGTATGATGTTAAATTTCTTATGTATGAAGCACTAAAAGAAATAGGGGTAAAGAATAAAGAAAAGGAAGATTTTCAGAAGTATGCAAGTCCTTATGGTGCTACGTTACATGAATTTAAGGGTGATAAGTTAGATGAAGAATGTGAAGAGGTCTCTCCATCACAAATGACCATGAATGAAGGTGGTAGTAGTGGCGATAAAAAACAATGTATGAGCACTAAGAGAAAGAAACCTACAGCAATTAGTAATTATTTTGCTCCACGAACTACTTTTGGGTCTCAACCATCAATTAGGAGTGTTTTAGCTGGAAAAGAAGCAATGTGGAGAGCAAACATGACTGTTGCACAGTTCTTTTATGATACTTGCATCCCGATGAATGTTTTAAATTTAATTTATTTTCAGTCTATCTTGGATGTTGTAGTTGCAATTGGCTCTGGGTATAAACAACCTACTTACAATGTTATACGTGTGAATTTATTGAGAGATGCTAAGAATGAAGTGCAATTACTTGTTGACAGTTACAAGAATATTTGGGAAGAGGTTAGATGTACATTAATGATTGATGGTTGGACTGATACTTCCCATAAGTCTTTGATTAATTTTCTTGTATACTTTCCTCAAGATGTTTGCTTTACAAAATCAGTAGATGCTTCAGGTATTGTAAAGGATGTCTTTACATTGTTCAAGTTGTTTGAGGATATGGCTTTATCGGTTGGACCAACTAATATGGTCCATATTGTCACAGATAATGGAGCAAATTTTAAAGTTGTTAGAAGAATGTTGTCTGAGAAGTATGAGAATATTACTTGGTCACCATGTGTAGGACATTGCATAAATTTAATTTTGAAAGATATAGCTGAGTTGGACCACATAGTACATCTTGCAAAACGTGCATCAAAAGTAACCAACTTTGTGTATAATCACACAATCTTGATAGCTTGGTTGAGGAAAAGAGAGCTAATAGCTTATAAATCTTCAAATCATGTCTTTGTCAATTCATTACATAATAAACATTTTATAGTAATTTACTAACATCTACTATGTATCTATCACTTGAACAGGGTTGGAAAGAAATTATATGACTGGGTGCAACTCGTTTTCCTACCACTTTCATGGCATTAAGAAGTCTCCAATCCATGAGCACAAACATGACTTGCAAGCTATGGTGACAGATAGATTTTTTGTGGACTCTCGACATGCCAAAAATAGTAAAGGCAAGGATGTTATTCCCATAATTCTAGATAATGAATTCTGGGATGACATGGGTAAAGTGTCCAAAATTGTGGCTCCTTTGGTGCGTTTATTGCTAATTGTATACTCAAATGAGAGACATGTAATAAGATATTTGTACTATGACATGTACAGAGCCAAAAAAGTGACCAAGAAATACTTTAAGAATGAAAAGTAATTGCGCAAGCGTTATACCAGAATTATTAAGTTGTGGTAGGATAGGCTTTTGCACCGTGACATTCATGTTGCAGCTTATTATTTGAATCCAACTTTTCAGTATGACCGTGTAACTTTCTACAAGAAACCAGAGGTCATGAGTGGTTTCCTTGATATTGTCAACAATAAAGCAAGTGCATTCAAGGTGAACAAGCCAAAGTTAGTGCACGAGAGTAGAATATATCGAGACCATGAGGAAAGCTTTTCTCGTGAGCTTGTCATTCAAACCTGCAAAACCACACGACCTGGTATGTGATAGTTATTAAATTTATGAATTTTAAGTCTGATTTATGAGTTATGAATTTATGTTTATTTCATATGGTTAACACTTTAACTTTTAATTAGATGAATGGTGGGCGACATATGGGTACAGTACTCCACATTTACATAAGTTTGCAATTAAATTTTTAAACTTCAACCTCTTCGGGACGTGAGCAAAATTGGAGTGTTTTTGAACGCATCCATTCAAAAAGAAGGAATAGATTGGAGCATCAATGGTTGAATGATCTTGTTTTTATCCATTATAACTTGCGTTTGAAAAATAAGTATAAAGCATTGGCAATTTTAATATTTTTACCATCTCTTCTTTTTATTTAGCGTGTATTTCAGGATGTGTTACAAGAAAACAGTTGTGATCCTATTGATTATGAAAGCATCGACAAAATAGAATTTTGGAATGCTGACGATGAACAGGAGTGTGGCGAATTCAATTTAGATGAATTGGAGCAAGCACTTTATGAAGAAGGATCTATTCCTATCGATGTTGGAGATCACCCCTACTATGATTCAACAGATGTTTCACAAGGTTGTTTTCCAATTTTTAATTAACTTGGTAGCTATTTTAAATTATAATATTAAAAAACAATGTACATCATAAGTTGTATCTTATGTTTTTAATTTTTGCTAAATTTTTTTCTAGATGATGGTGATGATAATGATGATGACTCGTACGATGGTGTGAATAATCAATTTAGGATGGGTTGAACCATTGAAGATCATTGGAAGAATAAAGTATGTTATTATTTTAAATTTATATTATGGAAATGATTCAAATGAATAAAGGAATTGAGATGGATTATTATATTAATTAATGAAGTAATTTATGTCATGTTTTCATTGTAACTCTTTTGTTGTATTTTAATTCATTTGTAGGAATTGAGATGGATGATGGGACTCATGGGAGTTGATTCAATTAGAATTTGGGTTCAAATCATTTTACTTATGACTAATGGATGGTGGTTTGGTTGGTGGATTGATATTTTGTAATTTTGTGTGCTGGTTGGTGGATTGATATTATGTAATTTTGTATGCCTTTGAAGTTTGAACTTGAGGATTGAATTTGTAAATTGTAAGTGGTTAAAAACTGTCAAACTTTGATGTTTTCGTTATAGTTGCAAAGTTTGTTTTTACAAAATTGTTCATTGATAATCCTAGGATTATACTGTTTTCTTTATGCTTTTTGTAGGATTTCGGATACTTCTTATTAAATTTTGTGCCGGAATTGCTACTTAAATTCGTATATTTTACTTTTTAGGCCAAAATGTACAGTTGGAGTAAAACCGAGCGAAAATGAGCTTCTGGACCCGGAATCAAGCGAAATTCAGGAATCGGGGGAATTTTGATGCTGATTGGAAGCACTGTGAAGTTTGTTCCTAATGGGGATCATAAGATCGAAGACTCAAGCAAAGAAGCAAGCTGAGGGTAGTTTCATAATTTTAGAAAAGTTAAGCAAGAGTTCGTTGCGGCAAGCTAGCCTCGAGTCACATGGTTTAGCAAAATTCAAATCGATGTTGTGGGGAGATTCTTCTTCACTGCGGTGAAAACTACAAAAATCTGTTTTTGTAAAACATTGCGTCTTGCTTGTATTCTATTAGTTCCTAGGGTTTTTGGCCGACTATTTAAGAGAGACTTAGTTCACTTTTTTAGGGAGGTTGACATTGTTAGATAAGGGGAAGAGGAGAAGGAGATTTGAGGAATTTGGGTCTCCAAAATAGGGAAGAATTCATTCCTCTTTCAATTTCTAATATGTTGAACTCCAAATTTATTGTTTATGTGATGTTTTTCTTTATTTTGAGCATGAACTAACTCACTTTTGGGTTAGGGTTTTGATGTAACTTGGATTACAATGGTTTAATCTATAAATTTGTGTTGTTTTTTTAGTTCTATTGCTTGGATTATGTGTTTATTTTTGTTCTTAATGCAGTTGGATGTTGGTTTCTTTTGATTCAATTGAATGTTGAGCATGATGAGACTGAGAAGTGATTCATGTGTTCGCTTCTTAGAGTAAACACCATAGATTAAGCAAATGCTAGAGATAAATTTAGCGATCTATGAAATAGGTTTAGCGATCTATGAAACTTAATAGGATTTCATTTAGCTTGATAGACTTTGAACTATTAACCTTCATTTTGTTGGGTGCGGAAGCTTAATAGGGATAAGTAGAGGAATATAGCCTAAGAAGGTATATTCTACAACATAAGGAATTCAATTTATAATCCTTGCATGTGAATTTAGAAGCAATAGAAATTGTAGGTTAAACTAGAGTATCCTAGTGAAGTCAAACCCTAACCTCTTTTGCCTTGATTTGAATTTGTGTTGATTAGTTTAGTGTTAATCTTAGTTGTTTGATTTTGTGTTTTAATTCTAGCTTTACTTTCCCCCACAATTCCAACATTTTTGTATTCTTCAATTAGTAATAGAATTAGGAAACTTGGTAATTAGCACGCAATCCTCGTGGAAACAATATTCTACTTCATCATTGTATTACTTTTTACGACTAGTGCACTTGCTAAATATGCATGTTTATCAAACCACACATCATTCATATTTTGTGGGTTTTTTTTTTTTTAGCATCATCATGTTGATGTCAGCATGATGACATCATCAGTCTGACCCCCCAGTCGGACCGGTTCAACCGTCCAAACAGAAAACCAAGCCCTTGATCGAGTCAAGGCCCGATCTGGTTTTTAGAACATTGAGTCATACTTTGTCCATGCCTGCCCCCAACCCAAGACTTTTCCAAGGATTCCTCATTAGGTGGGATTAGGTTTTTCTAAGCACCTAACTCCACTAGTTTTTTCTACGTCAACTTTTTCACCTTATTTATTTTGCAATGTAAATGAGTTTTGGTTTTATAAAGTAGGAGTATCTTAGATCAACCTAAAAAAGAAGGGGGAATCCCTTCGCCCTAAAAGGTAGGCTATCTTAAGCTTGCTTTAGTTAAACTAATTAGGACTAGAATTAGGATTACCCTTGCTAAATGCTAATTGGGGGAGCCAAAACTCATCAATATCGCCTAAGCCGATGAAGCATCGCCATCGCTTGATGCTCATTGTCATTCAATAAGAGTAATGCTATACATTCCAAAATATTTCCCAAAACTCACATCTCAAGTGATATGTCATCTTATTTGTCATTGTTATATCATTTACTAAATCATCACATCATTTACATCTCAACATCACATAAGATTATATATCACTTGATATGAGAATTCTCGGATAATTTTTAGGATATGCAGTATTATTGTAACATCTAATGGTATCCACAAAGTCTCAATAGTTTTCCTAAAATAGTTCTCCAAAGTATCCTTATTTAATTTTTTTAATTCTACTCATAAGTCATAGCCCTTAAAACCCTATTGCTTTTTAACATGTTTTCTTCACCTTTTTTTTCTTATTTCACAATTCACATTTATTATAGCCGAACTTTTCTTATGTCTTACAATTTTTTCTTATTTTAACAAATTGCACAACTTTATACCTATAATAATTTGATGAGTACGTGTATGTATGTATATTTCTTGTAATTTATTTATTAAGAAATAATTTATTAAGCTTAAAAATTAAAAATATAATTTTTTATGATATTAAAATGTTTTTGTTATATTTCACCAAATTAATAATTTGTAATGAAAACTATTAAAAATATAGTACTTAACATCCATAGTGACATTTAATTTATTTCAAATTATTTCAAATGTTTATAAATAATTTATAAAAATATAAAATTAATACTTATTATATTATACTAAAAATAATTATTAATAAACATAGCATTCAGTTCTGTGTATTTAGACCTATTGAGTCGATAGACCTGACCAATTATCAAAAAATTAACCATCATATATAACTCATACATCTATTCAATAAAATTATATCATTTATTTTACTATCAACTATATAATTTCAATTTAAATTATATTTATCTACTAATTGGATTTTATGAGTACTACTTGATATACAAATTAAAGACTCTTCTTGAAGAGAGATCATATCATATCCACCACACCAAATCTTTTTATTTTTATTTTTAATCATTTTTTTTGAGAAATTTTTCAAAAATTCATATTGATTACTGTATTTATTTTTTAAAATTATGAAGAATCGTGAAATTATGATGAAGAAAAATATAAATTTTTAGCTTTTAAATAATGAAGCATACTTTTGAAGTGCATTTATTAACTAATAAATTTAAAATTCCCTTATTTTATAGTTAGTATTCCTTGTTGCGTGTACATTTGTGTTGCATGTATATAATATTGCATCCGTCGGGTCCAAACAAGGAATTCGCATGTACTCTAACATTGAACAACTAGTTTTTAATTATCTTATCACCTAAAATAATTGCATGAACGGTTTCTCTGCAGTCACCAATCAAAATGGAGATTTATCCTAAATTACAAAGACGCAATTGATATGAATGAACAGGCAAGAGGATGCGTTTGGTAGGGAAGGACGTGGAGAAGAAGATGCCGTGCACTTGAATATGATATAATAATAATAATATTATTATTCTTATATGGGCCAGAAAGAAATGGAATTCTATGTCGATGTCAACTGTGTGTTAATTTCCACGTCTAGATGGGTATCCTATGCCCGCAGTTCACATGCAGACAAGAAAGAGATAGACATGAATGAAGTGACAGCTGAAGAAGGATAGAAGATAAAAGGGACCACCCGTAGCCCAAATATGCTCACTTCCGTACAGAGGTTGTGAAGAATAAGCTCACTATAGACACTGTTTTCCAATCACTTGAATAATGAATTCCTTCTTATACAATTGTTATAGTTATAATATTATGTACATAAATATTGTTTCTTTCTTTGGATACCTCTCTCACAATTATGCACCTATTAATTTAACTTTTTCTAAGTTTTCGGGTTGTTTAGTTAAATGGTTTTCATGATTAGGATTGGAGAGCTGTATCAGACGCATAATTTGTGGAACATGACACATGGATGAATTAGTTTAACATTATTATGACTGAGTTAGTATTTAAATTAATACTTAAAGTCAAAGGTGTCCTACAATATGAGGTAAATGTAAAGAGAAGAAATCTCTTCCACTCATCAGTATGCTATTTGAGAATTGAGATAGAATTAAGAAACATGTAGCTAGGACTTTTAGTTACCTTTAAAAATGAAATTATACTTTGTTTAATAGTTGAATCTTTTCCTTTAAAAGAGGCATTCAGCATTCATTAAAAAATAGATTTTTTTATGAGTTGTTAATGCATTGAACTTCTAATGTTGTATCATAATAAAAAAAAATTAGGTGATTGATTTTAAATGGTGAAATATTCAAATTCACATCACAGTCACAATCATGGCCAAAGACTATAAAGCTAAACTCTTATCTCAAACAAGAGAAAAAAGAAAAAGAAAAGAAAATCCAAATTATAGAGTTGTGAAAGAGATAGCCTAAGAAGAAGATTGGAAGAATATATATATAAACTAGAAGACATAGAGGTCAGATTACAAGATAAGAAAAGAAGGTGTAACACAACACTACAAATTGCATCGAATTTTTCTTCCTTCTTTGTCTTCCAAGTTTCTCTTCTGTCAAACTTGTATATATCTATATCGACAATTGTCCATATAAACCCTATTCCTATCTCCATGTCTAAGGATCACAAGAACTTGCTGCAAAAAAATAATCTGCCAGAGCTAAAACCACCAGAGAGTAGTAATCAAGATGATGATAAGGCGGCGATTGAAGCATCAGAAGACTGTGAAGATTGCAAAACTCCGACTTCTATTGAACACAAGATACCAACCATTCAAAGCTGCCCACCAACACCAAGAAAGAAAGTGCAAGTATCTTTTTACAAGAGAAAAAGGAGTGAGGTTCCGTTCTTTGAAGGATCTGGGCGTGAGGAAGTAGAGTCTTTCCTTAGATCATTAAGCTCTGAGCTATCCAATAAGGTTGAACTTGAATCTCATGCTGTCAAGAAGATAAAGAGATGTTGGAGTTTTTGAAGTATTCTCTAAATATCCTGTAAATTTTCTATCTCTAAGTCTATTTATTCTGTAAATTGATTAGTTTTAAGTAAATATTGTATTAATTGGTGCTGTTTCACTTCAGTTGTGATGATAGTGGATCATGATAATCAGTAACAAAAATGGTATTGTTCTTCTCTAATTAGTTTATTGATTGCAATGCTATTTGTATTTGGGCTTTCCTATCTTATTACATATATAGATTTCAATAATCTCAGAACGTCATATATCCCAATTGATAATTTTCTTGAATGAACATGAACTCTTGTATAAATTTCAGTAGCAGAAGTTGTTGAATCTGTCTTGCTTTACTATGATCTACGAAGTAACAGCACAAATTAGGATATTGTGAAAGAGTATGAAACGAACTAGGGCTATCAACCAAATCAAGCTTACACACACAAGTAACATTTTTTAGTTGTCGATAAGAGATAGGCGGGACGGTTTGGTGGAATTGCTTTTTAGAGGGATCGGAAGGTCAAATTTTCCACGGCGTTAAGTAATTGTTTGCTTCATAAACAGGATGTGCATATGCGTAAGTGTCACATTGACTATTCTATTACTGCATCAAATTTTACTTAATTATTTACCAGCAGCATTTGACTTTAGGAGCTGACCTATCCTATTGAACCAATACATATTACCTTTTGATCATCTTTTGTAGCATATCAAAAGAATGAATTGATTGATTATCAAAATATTTTGTACTTTGTCACCCTGACCCAGATTCCAAACTTCATTTGATTTATGGGTTATGACTTAATTATCATTTACGTAAAAGTCTTATTTCATTATATTTTTTATTTTTTATTTTTTAGCCTATTAAAATTATGATCAATATTCGAATATGTTGAGTTGGGATGTTCTCCTCATTAGGAATTACGGGATTTATCATGTAAATGATCTATAGATGGTGTGGCCCATGTTTCCCTATGGCACAGAGCTGAGAATATTTAGTGACGTTGATAATACTGCCAGGTTTGGCGACAACTTCAACAATTAAGGTCGCAGGTTGAGGTCACAGCTCGTCAATGTGAGCTAGTCAGTTCAAGGTTCCAGCTCGTCTGCCCGATGCCCATGGGGTCCCGCTCTCCGATGAGCAGGACACACTTACATCAGTTAAAAAAGGCACTTCATGAGTTAATTATGTCCACAACAATATTAAAAGTAAGGAATAATAATTTATCAATCAGAATTTAGAAATAATTAAAGCAAAGGAACAAAGTATCATAGAGGTAATTATGCTGCAAGTAGAGACAAAAGTAACAGAGAAACAAAAATGGAACTTTATTTTTAAATCAGCAAAAACAAACCTCATATATTGAACTATTTTAACTTACATAAATTGAAAGTATATACTCCTATATTGGGTTGTCATTCAATCATCCAGATGAGGACGAGTGTTTTTCCAATCCAAACACAAATTTCTACAAAAAAGATTGGAAAAGCACATTAGATAAATTATATGTGCTAAATATTTAACAAACCAACAAGTACATAACCAAAAAATTAAAAGTAAGGAAAAATTTTACCTAACTCATTTTTGTTAATTGTCCAAGCTCTCCTTTATGATGAATGGTACAACGCAAGCCTGAAACCAATTCTTGTACAAATAAGAGCCTCCACCATCTTAGCAGTGAGGGAGCTATAAATGGACCAATACACAACCCCCCATATTGAAAGCCGACTCAAATGCAACTGTAGAGACAGACTATCTAATACATCACGTGCTATCATGAGGATCTCATATTTTGAATTAACTTTCACCATTGCAAGATATCAAGGCTCTTGTTGTTGTCACTTCACAATCGTCTGTTAATATTTGTCCAACTCTGTTTTGTGATTCACATTTTTTTCCAGCTTTTGCTCTTGATACATAACCTTCATAAACTCCTCATTTTCAAGATCTACATCATGAACTCAATCTGAATGGCAATTGAGACTGTCCACTTGGCTGCACGCACTAGGGACTATCTTAAACAAACTACATTGCTCAAATAAACACCAAAACTTCTTTCACTTTTGTCTTCAACCTATCAGCAGAACAACATCAAAAGACTCATTAATTCCCAATCCACATATTCTAACTTATGCCTCAAATCTAGTACCTTTGCAATGAATAACATGAAGTTGATATTATCATATTTACCAATATTTATCATATTTCCTTTTCATCCTTAGAGCCATAATACGTAATTTGGGATCATGACTTGCACACCATTTTGAAAACTTCAACCAATGCAAAAATGTCTCGCATGAAGCATTATTGGTGACATAAAGCGAGCCAAAGACACTTAGAGTAGCATTATAAAAGACTTTCAAAAAAGGTAAGAAGTACCGTGCATACTCCTAATCAATGCATGAGGCAAACTTTTAGACATGTCTCCACTAGTAAGCTCATCTGTATACTTACTATCTTCTATTCCAACAACTCAAAAGCTTTCTAGAATTTAATGCCGCATCTAATAGCAAGTATGTGGAATTCCACCTTGTTTCAACATCGAGAACCAATTGACTTTTTACTTTCAATAGTTTCTTTCGCCACACACTCTTAAATCTTTGTAACCTTGCTGGAGAAGACCTCACTACCTCATTGCTGAACAAATTCGAATATGGAATTGTCCAGTCTTTTACATTAAACTAATATTTTGAGCACAACATCTCATGTGGAGGAAGTCACCATCCAAGACACTCCCCTTCTAACTTGTCAACCGAGTATTTACATAGTTTATTCCAACATCATTAGAGCCTGCATTATCAACAGTTATTGTGAAAACCTTAGAAATACCCTACTCAACAAACACTTTTCATTGCCTTGCCAATCACTAAACCTCTAACTGCTAATTGGATAGAAGTTTATAATCTTTTTCTGTAAACCCAGTTATCATTGATGAAGCGAGCTGTTAGACACATAAATTGAGGTTCTAACAACTTGTCCATGTATTGGTGAGACAAACTCTTTGGAAAACTTAGCAAATAACTTCTTCATCTTTTGGCACTCTTCATTATACATTTTAATACAATCTGAAGTAACTGTTGTTCGCCTAGGTATTTGAAACCTTGCTGTGCGACACTCATCAAGTTCCGAAACCCCTCATGCTTAACAATCCTAAATGTAACTCATCATAGTGACCATTTTAGCTATAGCCTCTCTAATCACATCCTAGTTGAATTTCCATGTCAAAGTGAAGATTGTGGGACTACTTAACTAATCACGTGCCTATTGTGCTTATTGAACCATTAATATCTTCTGTCTCTTGTCCACCACATTCAAGGATACTTTTTACACATATTTAAATGATTATGTGACAATTTGTACCATTCTTACTTAGACAAGTTAAACATTCCCACATAATTACAGATGTAGTGGCATCATCCTTATTCTCACAATCATCTTGGTGAAGTGATCCCACATTTCTGAGTGGTCTTCCTTTCACTAATAAAGTTGAGTCTAACAAGCCCGAGCATTGTCCACATCGATGACATCTACAATATCATTCAATAAGAGATATCAGATAGGAGAGTAAGTACAATTTTTCAATACAACCACAAAAATTTAATAAAAGGGGGTCCCCATATCTAAATATAAATTTACACATTAATATTGAAAGAGATAAGAACAACTGGGTCATTTCTCTCAACTCAAATTTGTGTGTTATACTTATGAATGTAGCATAAATATCTACAAATTTTAATGCCAAAATATAATTCACAATAAAACCATATGAAAACTGAACTGTATCAAAACAAGGTTCTTGGATTGAATATAAACCACACACTGATACTTATAGAGAATACGAAAAACGGGTAAATTCTCTAAACTCAAATCCTCTAGATGAACTAACCTTAAACACAAGAAATGCAAATGAACACAAAACAGAAGCTCAATCTAGTTGCAAGAACTCGTCAGTCGTCGATGAAGACTTAAGAACTCATCAATCGTCAACTCAAGAAGCTTTTGTTTTTGTCATCGAAGAGTGAACTCGTTAGTTGAGCTTCGGTGAAGACTATGGAATGAAGATTGTAAAGCCTCCATTTTAATCGTCGAAGAGTGAAGACGGTGAGTCGTGACTAGTTGAAGATTATGGAGAATGGGGAAGCGCAAGTTTAGCATCGACTCAAAGAGCTTCTATTATTGTCATTGAAGATTGAACTCATCAATGATATTTGTTGAAGACCGTGAAGAATGAAGATTGTGAGCCTCAGTTTTTGTCGTCAAAGAGTGAAGATGGCGATGCCGAGTCGACAACTAGTTGGAGTCTTGGAGATTATGAGAATGGAGGGAAGCAACAATTTTGAGAGCAAGGTCTATTTGTGTTTAGTGTTAGGATTCAATTAGGATTTAGGGATTTTTACTAAATGAGGAAAATCGGTTTCGGTTAACAGGTGATAAATGGTTTTAATCGAAAACCGAACTAGAAATCCGATTTGGGCATTTTAAAACTGAAAGTAAAATCAGTTTTATGAAAAACGGTTTTTGGACTGCTTTCGGTTCGGTTTCTCGTTCTGTTCAGTTTCCCCTTTTTTTTTTTTGCGGCTCTAGTTTATGCTACAGAAGTGTGTTTTTGTGAGCAAACATTTTTTGTGTGTTTTGATGCTATTGTGATTTTTTTGGAAAAGCTGTTAGAGCCTTTGTTTCAGCTTGGTTTTTACTTCCTTTATTTTGTTGGAGCTTTTATTTTCTTGTTTCTGGTGTTGTTCTAAAAATGCTTATACTTTCTCTTGATTTATATATAACACTTTTGAAATGTCAAGACAATCCTTTATCATATAATTAAGAGTTAAAATTTTTTGAAAAAATTCCCATAGTTAGATTAGAGGGTCTATATCAGCACAAATTTTTGAATCCTCTGAGTTGTTGAGAGCTACCATTAACAAATTAGATCTAATGGTTCGCACAAGGCAAGGGCATTAAGCTTCATATACATATACTTTCATGTGTTTTATCTTAATTTTGAAAATTAATTTGATTAATAGCA